TAAAATATTCAGTAAATAGTCAGCCATGTCCCAGGAACTGTGCTGACTGTGCTTAGTGATGAGTAAGTGGTGCCTTCTTGGATTTGGATGTCAGTGGGGATGTCCATAGAGAGAACCAAAGGATGCAATGAAGAGTGGTGTCGCTGAGGATGGGGGAAACATCAGAAGAGCCAGAAGATTCTCATCAGGATGAAACACGGAAATAGGAAAGAGAGCAATGAAAAGGAAAATGTGAGTAAACTTTCCATGGGAAGGAAGAAATCAGACACATGGTGACAGGGAAGATATGGAAGACTGGAGGAATGGGAAGGAGTTAAACGTGATATGAGCAAAGACAGCAGGAGGAGGGGCAGGCACAAAGGAGAGATATGTGTGGCTCCTAAATTAAACGCTACCAGCCACTGGCTGTGAGATGTTGGCCATGCCACTCAAAGCATGGACTCTTTGTGTCATTTTTGGAAGCATAGATGTAATGATGTCTATGTCCTAAGGCTGATTGGAAGAAGAAACAAATGAATGTATGAAAAATGCCAAACAAGTAAGAGCTTGACAAATGGCTGCTACTACTCTCAATTATTAATGTTGTCTGGAGGTGGGCTTGTAAGGAGTGAGACAGCCAAGGATGTGAGTTGTGAAGGATTTCGAATAATGTAGCTGAGTTGATGGTGGTTGGAATGAGATACTGGAGGAATGGTCAGACGCTGACTTGGTGGGAAATATAAAGAATCATGAAAGACTGCCAGGAAGAGAACAATGGCTAAGTGCAGCCAGTTTGGACATATTGAGATTGTATCCAATAGAAATCCATAGGAGGGAAGAGGCTTCATTCTAGCATATTACCAAGGCTAACTAGAGATTGACCACGGTGCTTTAAATAGGACTGACATATCAGAATGAGCCTTTATCAGGGCAACTTCTGCAGCCACTCCCAGGAAGTGAAATGCCACAATAGCAGTCACCCCTTCAACAGTCCAGCAACCAGGAGGCTGGTCCCTAGAACCACAACACTGCTGTCATGAACAGGAAACCAATGCCGTCAGGAAGCTGCTCCACTGCTGTGGATGACATTGCATTACCAGAATGGATGCTCTTGCTGCTCTATCCAGCCTCCCTGTGACGTATTCTGCTAGCAACTGAACACTGGGACATCTGCCAATACAGCTGTAGAGTAAAACCAAGTACCTCTCCACAGCTGTGCTTGCTGACTGAGTGGACAAACAGTCCCAAGTCCTGCCTGTCTCAGACTCAATAGCATGGGAATTCTAGCTACTCTGGGGTCAGGGAAGTATATTTTAGCTTTGAAACATCTGGATTGCTTACTAAGATAGTGGTTTACGAAATACAGTGTGTGACTAACAAGACTATCATATAGCCAAGATGGCAAGTACAAGGGTTTTTATTTTGGTCCTCTCTGGCAATGAGAGATATTTCTTCTGGGTTGGATGCAATTCTGGAAAAGCTACTGTACTGGCTGGCACATATCAGTCTTCATTATAAAGTCACAGGAGAGAACCAAGGATAGAGTCCAATGACTACTGAAGGCATGTGGCTGGATTTAAGGATAAAAGCAAGTTAGGGATGCATTTTTACAGGAATTTGAAGAAAGCCGTCACTCAAAGACACAAAAGTGGACTGTCATCCCATCAGATACTGGGGAAAATGAAGAAAAAGCAACCTGGACGAGACACAAGGAATCTAGACATTTGATCTTAGGAGAAGAACCTCTTTCTGGAACTTTTCTTTGTCCTTATGCATGCTGGTACTTTTCAATTACTCTCTAGAAAAAGAACCAAATACAGAAAATATCCAGACTACCTTGGAAAGACATGGTGTAAATGCACTCACCATGCTGGGTCATACACTGGCACCCTGCATGGGGCTTGCTGTATGCTGGCACTCAGACAGAAGTGTTGAATGCCTGTACAGAGAAGGACCGTTCTCAAGAGATAGTAAGAGCACTTCAAACCCATGAACTGTGGACTGGTGGCTGTGGAGCCCCCATGGAACTGGACTAGACCCTCTGGACACGGAAGATGGTTGTTTGGCTCAAACTGTTTCAGGGGCACCCAGGCAGGGGGATCGGGATCTGTCCCCAGTGCATGGGCAGGCTTCTGGGAACCCGGTGCCTGTGGTGTGACACCTTGCACAGCCTTGGTGCAGTGCGAAGGGGCTTGGACCTGCTTAGGCTCAGTGTGCTGGGCTCTGCTGACTCCCCATGGGAGACCTTGATTTGGGGAATGTGGAGATGCGGGGTGGCTTGGGAAAGAGGGCTGGAGGAGGGAGGAGGGGGGTCTGTGGATAGCAAGAGGAGTGAGTAGAAAATTTCTTAATAAAGAAAAAAAAATACTGGGGGGAAAAAAAGAAAAGAAAGAGCTCTTCAGATTCCCGAAAATAAGGTTCACTTCTCAAACGTGGTCATAGGGTGTTTATGCCATCATAGCCAAGCAGCTATGAGGACCACCATTTTCCTTTGTACAGAAAAATGACAGTGAGAGGTGAGAGCTACACACACACACACACACACACACACACACACACACACACACAAGTGCATTGCAGTAACGTAAATTAAATGTTTTCCTTATGAGAATGGGCAAAGATATTTTGAAACAATGAAATCAATATCTCACCTTTAAGTGAATGAACTAGATTTACATGTGTCAATCAGGGTAAACCCCAAAGCTTTACTATTAACATGAAAAAAGGCAAGTCACAAAATGTTACATAAAGTGTATCTTTTATTAAAAAATTTAAAAGCACACAGAATTGTACTATGTATCCTTATTAGAAAACAAATGTAAATTTATGTAAATGAAAGGCAGACATAGACTTCCAGACAGCAGTTATGACCCCTGGAGAGAGAGTGGGGGATGGGAGAGTGGGGCTAAGCTCTATCTTAGTTTTTTTTTATTTTCAAAGAAGCAGATGCAAATATGGTGAAATATTAATAATTATTAAATAAGCTGATTAAGCCTAGTAGAAATATTATTTTCACTTCTCTTCTTAATTAAAAATAAATATAAACATATATATATATACTTTGCAATTCCCAAAGCAAGCATCAGGCTTCCTCCCCGAACCAGGCTAAGCAGATATACGTAAAACATGATGGGAAAAATGTACACACAAACATATGTGTGTATATGAGCATACACGTATACTTACATGTACACCTATGTATGAGAATAGGTACAAATTAAACAATAAACTTTACTACTTTAATTAAAAAATAATATTGGCTTGATCATAAACATCTTTGGTTCTGAGGGTCATAACTCTAACAGCTCTAACCCTTTTCTATGACTCAGTCATGGACCAAATCTAGAGAAGACGGCTAGGGTAGAGAGAGGAGGGCGGAGCATTCATTCCCTGGATCCTGGGGGCTGCTTCAGTGTAGGGCTGGAAAGACATGACCTGAAGTTTTTCACAAAGGCTAAAGGAGGCCCAGTAAAGTCTGGTGAGCACAGCAGAGCAGGAGTCAGGAGGCTGGGTGCCACTCCTCAAGGGCTGGATAAGGCTAGACATCGCCCTGGCTTTCTACACAGCAGGAACTCCACCAGGGCTAAAGGACCTCACTACAGAGATGCCTCGGGCTGGCTTCATTGTCTTTTTCAATTGGAAAGTTTTGGCTGTTTAAAATAATCAATGATATTATGCTGAATCTGCATCTTTGTATATTTAATTCTCACCAAATTCTACCTCAGTATTTTGTCTGTTCATATCAAACCTTTCCTGGACACTGAATGATTCTCTGAGCCATTTTTTATGTGGCTGGGGGATTCTGAAGAGGTAGCAGGTCATGTAGTTTGCAGAGGGCACTTGTGGGTGTTGGAGAGCAGGTGAAAACAGTTTCTGAATGTAGAGAACCACACATAGCTCCCCCTCCCTCCTCCAAACATCAGGGATACTTTATTTTTGCACACTAAAGTGGAACATTTCAACTTATACATGATCTTCTTTACACATGACCTTCCTTAAGTTCTGTAAGGGTACTGGTATGTGTCTGTGCATGTGTGCATGTGTGCGTGTGCACGTGTGTGCATGTGTGTGTGTGTGCGCGCGCACGTGTGTGTGCACACGCATGTGTGTGTGTGCTTGCGCGCGCGTGCACGTGTGTGCACATATGTGTCCACATGCTGTGAGTGGAGCATAAGTGGAGCACATGAGTGCATAGTGTGGAAACTCACTGAATTTTTAACAAATTAGCATTTGTCTTAGGTAGTCTAAGTATCCAGTTAGAAAAATAATATGCTCACTTACATATGTGTGGTGATAATTAATCATTGTTAAGTTGACAGGGTTTGCAGTCTCTAGGAGACACACATCTGGCTGTTTCTGTGAATCTTGAGGCAGATTCAGCTAGGGACTTGAGACTCATCCTGAATGTGGGCAGCACTACACTATAGAATCCCAGACTGAATGAATGGGAAAAAGGAGGAAGTAAGATGAGCACCAGCATCCATCTCTCTACTTCTGGACTGTGGACTCAGTGTGACCAGGCCCCCCTTACTCCTTCTGCTGTGCCTTCCAGCTGAGGGGAGCTATAGCCTTTAAGCCAAAGCAAATCTTTCCCTTCAGTTGTGTCCATCAGGTACTCTGTCACAGCAATGAAAAATATAATTATTACATATTTGCCAGAAAGTCCCCAGGGGCTGGTTAACCCTCAAAAGAACCATAATTTAGTTTTAAACTCCCTGGATTGTCCACTTCCTATTTACATTCCAGTTGACTTATCAATAACCATTGTCTATTATTTGTTTTCATTCTGCTACATTTTAATTTTTTTTTTATTGAAGTGCCTTCCTGTCTTTAGTGAATGGCTTTCTGAGCACAGCTTGATAGAGACTGCAATTAGGAACAAATCAAACTATAGTGCAAAGGTCAGGTACCTCTGCCCAGAGGACAGTCTATGAAAAATAAACATGGAGTCATTCTTGACTTAGAGTCTGAGAGGGGAGAGCATTTGCTTAGTTCCCACTCAGATGGCATGTGCCTTTTCTAGAATGCTCCAGTTGATTTAACCTAAGGTTCACTTGCCCCACATCTGAGCACAACACTCACACTGCTGGTCCCCTTACCCTCCAGCACTGAGTTCACGGTACCTCATTCTATTTGACCACACACCGTAACTTGACCTTACAATGCAACTCCTCTTCCTGTACCTATAGAGGAGACCAAAGAGGAGGTTGACATGGCTGCTCTTCTTCGTCATCTTTGTTTCCCTGTGTTCCACTCACACATCAGAACAGCTGCGTTTTATTCTTATCCTTTTAAATCTGTTCTAGCCTTTCTCTGAAAAACGTTATTCTTCTCTTTTCCTTTAGAGAAACTCATATTTTACTCCATCCTTTCACACAGCCCTGGCAGGACTCGCCTTCCTTACTGAAGCATACCTCCCAGGGGCTCATGCATCAATTCAAATGATTTGTTCAAGTCTGTCTTCTACAATGGTGTAGAACTCCCAAGCCTGATGAGGCTAGGGGAACTGAGTGGCCTCTCAGGTCAGGAAAGACTGTTGATGTCTGTTGCCCAGAAGCTCCCCTCTTTTTCAGGATCCTCATTGTCTGTCAAAAACTTTTTGGGGGACTTCAAAACCATACTAAAAATGGACTGAGGTGTTTGAAGCAGGGAATGCCACAAGTACATACAAGGAGATGGCAGCAGCTACTCCCTAGGTAAGAGACAGCATCACCTTGGGCATTACAGGCTGGTGGAGTATCATTCTACAAGGCAGCATGGAGTCCCTATGACCCTCTGAGATGACAAGAAGACAGACATTCCTGGTGGTATTAGTTTCATCATGACATGTGGGGCCTTCCTCTGCTTGGGACCTTCCAGAACTCTATCTGGAATCTCAGCTCACAAATTTCATCTTCTGAGATGAAGGAAACACCAGGGAGACACAAACCCCATCTCCCACTCTTTCAGATGCAGACCCTGAGTTTCAGGGAGAGGAAAAGGGGCTCATGGTCAAACAGTGAACTAGTGGTTAGGCTGGGGCAACCCAAACCCTTCTAGTACCCATGTAGGTATCTGTCCACATACTATGTTCCTTCCTTGCTATCCATCTGAAGGAGACTTCACTTTTTAAGTCAAGGAGCTGTATCTTTCCAAAGGACAGAAGAGGAGTACACTAATTCATACACTTAGTTTCAGCTGTCCTAACATTTCTTTTTGCCCATGTTTGGACAGATGAAGTACTATATGGTAGACAACATTTTTCTACTTAAAGGTCAAGAGCAACTATTCAGTCTGAACTACTATATAAGAAGATGGACAGCACGTTTTGAAGTGGAAAAGTTTTTGTATCCACGTACTGGAATTTATCCACCACCACTGATATGGTGGAGTTGACCTGTAAGTAAGACAGCAAGAACTGAGAGAGATTCTGGTAGATGTTCTCAGTTTGAATTCTAGACTGGCACACTGTTACCAGTGTCTGCTTCTTGACTTTGGTATTGATGAGGAGCTTCAACGTCAGGTCCACAGAATGATTTGAGCACTGCACAACGAATTGCAGTTGACAAATGATGAAGTACCAGCCTGGGAACTGGACTACCAGGCTCCCATCCTGGTATCCGACTCCATGGATGGCACCATCTTGGTTCCATGACAGTTTGGTATTGTTGAGATTTTTTGACACTGGAAAGATAGAAGAAGAATTATTGCTCACATGTTAGGTACAGGTTGGAAAACTGTTTTTCAAGGTTCCCAGTCAGCAGCCCTGTTTTCTAGAACACTGATTGCTGTCCCAAACATTTAAACATCTTCTGAAATACTCTTTCCAGAGTATTCTTTCATAGTTCATTGTTTCTACTTAGTAATGATGAAGTACCAGCCTGGGTACTGGACTACCAGGCTCCTGTCATGGTATCTGACTCCATGGATGGCACCATCTTGGTTCCATGGCAGTTTGGTATTGTTGAGATGTTTTGACACCGGAAAGGCACAAGAAGAAAACCATCTGTATTTTTTTGTTTGTTTGTTTCATGCTCAAAGCTAAGTTGAGCTTAAAGGTTGGAGAGCATACAGTATTACACTGGAAAAGGAAAGACCTTGCAGGAGAGTTTTCTAATGGAAGACAGCACCTATAGATGATTTTCTCTTAATTATTATCTATCACATCATATGGTTGTTAATATTTTCTTTTTACCCCCATTCAGTGCCTATGTGTATATGTATATATGTGTTTGTATTAGACCCATGAATGTATGCAGGTACAGGTACATGCATGTACCTGTGTATATTTAGCCCAGAGGACAACCTTGTGTATCATTCTTTACACATCATCTACCTTGTTTCTGTTTTTTTTTCTAAAGGTTTATTTTTACTTATGTGTATGTATATGAGTATCTGCAGTGTGTTAGTGTGTGTGTGTGTGTGTGTGTGTAGGCCAGAAGAGGGTATAAGATACCTTGGAAATGGAACTCAAAATAGGCAGTTTTGAGACACTTAATGTGAATGCTGGGAACCAAACTTGGATCTTCTGGAAGAGCAACAAGTGTACTTAACTGTTGAGCCATCTCTCTACCCCTTTAACTTGTGTTTTTGAGACAGAGACTTTCACTGGCTAGAATCTTGCCAGGTAGACTAGGCTGGTCAGCCAGTGTGCTCCAGGGATCCCCCTGTTCCTGCCTTAGCAGCAATCGCATGGCAAGCATGAGGAACCATGCTTGGCTTTTAAAAACTAGGTTGCAGCAATTGCTTTACCTCTCAAGCCATTTCTTTGGCTCCTTTCTCTTTTAGATCATACCTACCTGGACTGTATTTTGCAACAAGATCTATGCTGTTGTGTAATTTGTCATGAATGAGCATTTAGTGTTGATTACTATTTCGACAGGCATTGCAGATGCAAAGCTGTGATATTTAATACTGTTCAATTTCAGTATTGAGTAGTTCAGGATAATCTCTGTTAACTTTTGCATTTAAGATAAAACCAAGGTTTGTTACGTGCATGCATGAAAATGTCAACAATGAAACCCATTGTCACAAGCAATTGACATCTGCTAATAAGAATGAGATACACCCTTTAACATGGTCTGCAGTTTTGAATGTCCCCTTTCCTTAAAGGGCAGTCAAGCTTCCTTGGATGGGCCTCTGGCATGCACAGTGGGGGGCCTGCTACCTAGGACTGTTAGAAAGGCAGAGAATTAACAGAACTTCTAAGCTAAAATGTTTGTATGAAAGCCAGTTCTCTGAGTCCTAACAAATGAAAATTAGCGCTGACTGGTAAAGGTGCTCCCAGAACCAGGAAGCTGGCACACTGGTTTTAATTGATTCATTGCTTTCTCTTCAAATCTTGTTACAATTCAATGGAAAGACACGAAGTAATCTAACTGCAAAATGGGATTTTTTTGAATAAGCAAAATGGCTATTCAGAGAATCTTGGCCATCTCTTCCATAGCTCATTCTTTCATGCTCTAAGTGCCTCTTACTGTTTCATTTACAAGGGACTCATCTTACCTGAAGCACACTGCAACATGCAAATAGGCCCTCTGCCAGTGAGCTCATTAAGCTGTCAATCTGGGGACCAGGCAATTTTGTAGTTCCCCTGTGAGTAACTTGGTAGAGGTAGAGATGGAGGCTGTTCTTTCTTTGCATTAGGGGAAAGACTTGGCCCAAATGAGGAGGTAGGTGCACAGCATGGGATTAGTGGGAGAAGGGAGAGGTAATGGAGGTGAGGGACAAAAGTGTCTTTAAAGGCCAGGTAGGAAACACAAAGGGGTGAATGCAGTGATTCCCACCTGCTGAGGGAGCTTTTGCTCCCAATACAATCCCTACACAGCTTTCCTCGAGCTCATGGCTTGCTTATTTATTTATTTATTTATTTATTTATTTATTTATTTTATTTATTTATTTATTTATTTATTTATTTATTTATTTATTTATTTATTTATTTATTATTTAAGTGTGCCGCTTAGTTGTGCCACTTCTAAGCCCACAACTAAACTTTTTTTTTTTCAGCAAAAGGGGTAGCTTTGGAGAGAAACACTCTCATCTTCTTCCTCTAAGACATTCAAATTCAATTTATGGAAAGTATGATGTTGGCTAAGAGCACATGTGCAGGTCATGTTTAGCCGGAAAACTCTAACTTTTCATGGGGTTAGATCTTTCTGGCATTGGGTACCGACCTTGGAGGTAAGCCCAAGACTTCTTGAAATGATGTCTTTTCACGATACATAAGAGGTCATCTGAGCAATTTCCTAAAAACAAGATCAGGCGTGAATCATCATGTATACCTCTGGGGACTACAGACAACCAGATCTTTTTCTGTGACCCTCTTAGATTGCTGTTTATGGTTCTGCTTCTGTTTGTGGGGTTAAATTAAAACAACAACAGCAACAACAACCCCAAACTTTTGTTTTCATTTTGCTATTAAAAGGCTTAGGATTTTCACATTTCTGAAGTTTATTTTTTATTTATCACTGCTCCTGGGCTGTTAATGAAGACGGTAGAAGTTACACACATACAATCTGAGTTCCCATAGTGTACTGGGCACCATTTCTGACAGTCCTCATGAAAGGGGTTATTGAGCACCTCTACTAGCTTGAGAGAGTCTGGGAATCTCATGTCCTTCAGTCTAAACACTGGTCTCCCTAGCAGCAATGCTGATGGAGCTATGCTGCCCAGCATGCCGTGTGGACACTAGACTCTGTGCTTTGACCCGCATCAGCTGATCTGATTCTCAGACTAAGCCAGGATCAACTTTGCTGAAGACACTCAAGGCTCAGTAAGCATGTGAAAATGTAAGAATTCCCTACATCTGCCTCATTCCAGAGGATGGAATTTCTTCTATAGGCCATCCTGCCAGACATCAAAGACAAAAACATCCCACTCAATTTTAAGAGGACGAAGCATTAGCAAAATCTTAGCAGGAAGCCTTCCACCTGGAGCTTGTTTGGCAGAGGCAAACACAGTATTACTGTCACTGTAGCATTTGAGAAATAAAAATATTCTTCGTATCTTCACCAAGGACGAGAGCTCTTTCTTATTATAACAAGCTATTTTGTATGGTGAGAACCAACTTATACATTACCCTGTAATGACTCATGAATTCAATTTATTTGGAGTAAATCTCTTCTCTTCTTTGGACCTTGGCTCCCCTATCTATACACTGGAAGCTTTCCAACCTGAGGTTGATGTCTTTTTGATGATGTCACCAGAGATGAGCACTCAGTCCATCCATTAGAAGTGAACAGGCGTAAGCTCATGCACTAGGGGCAGTGCCCTGCTGTGCTTACTCTCCGAATAGTATAAGCACCCTACCTATATCCCATTGCTCTCTCCACCCAGATTTGAGAAAGTCCCTGGGGCCTGAGAGTGGTTCAAAGTTGAGTGAAGGGTTCCCTCTGCTGTCTGAGCAAGTTCATTACTAGAAGAACCCCCAGCAAAGTGGGGACAGTATTCATCCCTAGCTGCTCTTGACCTGCAAAGAGCTTCTTGACCTACTCTCTGGATCTTATCCTATGCTCATCATCTAAGCAGTGTTCTTGTGAGGTCTACTGCTGCTCCACACATACTCATAGGGTGTGTATAATCAGAACCTTGATCCCAAAGTGTGATATTTTAATGGACTATGACTACATTGACTCCCCATTGTTCAGTTTCATCTGAAAATAGAGAGATGTAAATTTGGCTACCTTTGCTGGTAATCACTCCCTAATTTCTGTAACCTACAGCTCCTACCGGTGGCATTCATGACATCTTGGGTTCTGACTTCTCCTGATCTCTCTACTCTCAGCCCGTACCATCCCTCACCCCCTTTTACTCTATGTCTTAATAGTAATCAATGTCACTGTCACTACCATCATCATAACTAGTGTTGACTATTTTTTTGTGGTACTTTGCTGAACATGCTACATGTAGCCATGATTTCATTTCATTTTCACAACTGTCCTGTGAGAGACAGTTTATAGCTATTTCTATCATGTATGTAAGAAACCCTAGGCTTTGAAAGGTTAACTGGCTTGTTCTGAGCCATGCAGCTAGTTGCTGGTAGGGTGGAGATTAAAACTCAGCCAATGAGACTCGAATGCCCAAACAGATTTTTCCCCCACCTACTGAAGTTTGGAGACTTGCAGTTCCCCTAAACAACCACATGGACATGCTTCCACCTGAACACCTCCCATACAGCTCCCTGGGACTCCTTCCTCCACCAAGTCAGTTATCCTTTGAAACACACCCTGGCAGAGACTGCTGTTTAGTCCCTCCTACTGCTCAGCCATGAAAGTGCTTCATAAGCATTTGCTGAATGGAGTCATCTAGTCCATCTCTCTTATTTCCTTCAGTAGGGGCTAACTCAGTACTTAGAGCATCAGTGTAGTGAATAGGGATGCTTGGCTTGCCCTCCTCCCCACAGGAAGAACAATGGCCTCACTCTCACAGATTCTGCCAAAGTTGGTTGGGAAAGTAGGACTCACGCCCTTGATCAGAGCCAGGATGTTACATAAAATAGACTCTATCTCTCTTGTCCAAAGGCCCCTTTGTATCAGGTGGCTTGTGGTGACATCTGCAAGAGCTGAGCATCTACAAACAGATGGTGGCAGAAGTACAAGCCCAGGCTTGCCTCTCATACATTCAGTCTTTTTTTTTTCTGTTTTTCCCCTTTGGTCTTCACGTGTATAGTGGGGTAACCTCAGCTGTAATTCTGAGAAACCCAGCGATGGAAAAAAGCAATCTTATTTTGAAGCAGTTGCATTTCCTGAAGTCAAATGGCAGGTATAATTTTAGTTTTTCTTAAAGAATCGATTAGATGGGTTCATGCTAAAGGAAAAACATGGGCTTCTCCTTCTAAGAATGCCATTGCTGGAAATGCTTCAAGGAGGGGGCTGGTTTTTGAGAAAGTGGCACTACTGAGCTTGAGGAAGACCCCAGAGGCAACATCTCTGTTCTTTCACATCTGGAGATGTTTTCAAAGAGTAACACATGCTTGGTGGGGCCCAACACCAAGGGTCTCAGTGGTTTCTAAGGATCAAAAGCCCTTAGACTATGGCTAACACCGCTCCGACCCCCTTTCTCCAACATGGTGGTGGGCAGACCTACACCAAGGACATCCAAGTTATAACGCAAGTCACAGAGATAGAAGCTTGAATATTTGTCCAGTCAGTGCTGACCAAGGAGTGGGTGGGATGCTTTGAAAGTCACAGCGCTCTTATGACCTGGACAATATTGTGTGGGGTACCAGCCATGTAGCTCAAGTCTCATCAGCTTACAAATCCATGATAAGACAGTCTATTGTGGATACGAAGACTTCTAGAGGGGATTCCATGCAGTAGGAACCTTGCAGTGGCCCCAGAGCTTTGGGGATTGGGTGCCTAGACTGTGAACTGTATCTATGCTCTCTGTTTTTTTCCAGGGAATATAGCCTGGAGGGCAACTTAGATTGCCACCAAGGTGAAATTTTTCTCTTCTGTGCCCTGGGTCTCTGAAAAATCTGAACATGTACAGATATATTCTCCTCCTACCTAGAGTTAGAGCAGCAGACACATAAAAGCAAAAAAAAAAAAAAATGGAACTAGGACTGACTTCCCGGCCCCAGCTTCCAACCCTGCCACCCCCCACATCAGTACTGGCAATGAATGCAGAGTACATCAGTACTGACAGTGCAGAGATAGTCAGCTAGAATCATCTAGAAAGGAATTTCCAGACTTCAGTCTACAGTGCTATCCATCTAGATAGGAACACTAAAATCTAAGCAGGGAACATCCTGCTTCGGTAAGAATTCGTATGGCTTTTGAAATAGAAGCTGCCTGCAAGAGCAGGTATTCAAACTTGGCAAACATATGACTTCTATGCTCCCAGCGTTGCCCCCATTGCAGGCTTTGTCCTAGGTCACAGAGTGAGTTAGTGACAGAGCCAGGACAAGAGTCTAAAACTCCAGATTCCTTGGCAGGTCATTCTGTTTTCAGATCTTTGCAGACTCCGTACATTTCTCTGAGCATCAAAGCTTTCAGATAGATGGAGTCAGTGTTTTGTTGACAAGCTCTGGCTTCTAGAAGGATGGGGGACTATTCTTTCGCTTAGGAAAACTGGAGGGAAAGATGTGTCAATGGTATTCCAGTGTCTAGTTTCCCAGAGAGGAGGAGAGAGAAGGGGTGGGGCGGGGATTGAGATTGCTGAAGGTGATTGAAAGGACCAGGCACTAGATGGTAAGGACTGTGACAAACTTAAAATTGGACCCCCTCCTTGAGATTTTATAATGTTGGACCCAAAGGGTCATGGGAATGGAGGTTTGGATTTTATTAGTGGGAAGGTTGAGCCCAGAGATGCTGGGTTTCGAGACCCCACAGCCGGTAAAAGAGCAGCAGAGTTCAGAACTGTTTTCCTTACTCCTAGTGCTTCACTCTGTCCCTAGTTCTTAGTCTTCCTGTGGAGCAGTGAGTGTTAAATGAAGGAAGAAAGGATTCTGTAGCGATTTCACACACTGCAACCAAAGTCTCTGGACACAGCTGGAGGGAGGTGCTGGGAAAGCAGCCCCAGAGCCTTCCTGATCTTGCAGGGTGGGAGAATGTCAGAAGATAACTTCAAGTCTATGTTTGGAACTGGGTCAAGTCAAAGGTTGGGACAACTGGGCTTTCTAGGCAGATGACGTGTGATCTAAATGCATCAACGCTGGCTCTGCAGAACCTCTCCAGTGAGGCCCGGGAGGGGCAGATGGTGCTTCTCAGAGAGCATGTGGCTCTAGTGAAGGCTTTGGATCCATCCTCTCCTCTCCTGGAACTTCAGCTACTGTACTACCCAAGTGAGGACAGTAACAATCAACACAGATGTGCAGCTGACGGGACACACATAAAGGTTACAGATGTCAAATAACCAGCCCAACACGTGGCTATCGGAGCCACTGCAAATGTGAGGTCCATTCTCTTCTTGTCTCTTTTTCTTGTTATCTTGGCACAGCTCTGTGACACGGCACGACACAGAGGATTGACTAAGGAGATGTTCATTAAAATGAAGCCCACGGTATTACCTGTCGGACTAGACTTTCTCAATCTGTACACAATTGTTTGAGGCTCTCTGATACTTTTGGGGAAGGAGGAAGACTTCTTGGAAATATTTTAATCTTTGAGGAAATGAAAAGGCCTATATTTTAGTTTCATCTTCCTTGGAGAACACCCAGGGAAGTCCCAACAGCGACATCTAGAGGAGTCTCCACTCTCAGCAGCATTTGGGACCAAAGTGAGCCCTTAATCTGGTGGGGGCAGGT